TGCATCTATGTGGTTGAAGGTTTGGTCTTCTAATGGGTTGATTATTTTGATTGGGTTTTGGAGGATTGGATCTATTGATTTTTTGTATTTCGAAATAGGATAATTGTAACTCTCGTCTGATGCGGACTTGAGCTTCAAGAAGGTCTTTTGGATTACTTGCACGAATAATATGGGCGATTTTTGGATCGAGGCCGGTCAATAATGTATTGAGCGCCATTGATTCAATTAATACAATTTGGGCCTGTTTTTCTACAGCAGAGAGGCTAGATTTCTGTATATTAGCGTGCATTTTTGCATTAAGGACTTGGACACGATTAAGGAATGTAAGAGCCGATTCATTTGGAAGTTGTTTGACTCTTTGTAAATCTTGTATCAAAGATGATAAGTCTCTAGTGTCTCCAAAATGAGAGGTAAGAAGCTGTTTAATTTCTAGATACGATAATGGATTTCTTGAACTTATAAGTTGCGCTGCTCTTCCGCGTAATTTATTTTTAATGTGAATTACTAATAGTTGTTTTTGATCGCGCGTAGACATATTGTAGGCATAATCACAAGCATTTAAAAATGTGTGTAAAAATATTTGATCGCCTTCAAATTCGGGTACGATAGAAAATATTTCAGATAATTTATAAGGTTCTATTTCAGGCTGGTTCTCATTACGAGAAGCTGGACGAGAAATGTTTCCGTTATCATTCATGGTGGTTAATAAATCAATAAACGAAATAGAAATAAAAATATAAGATAATGAATTAATTAAAAATAATTAATCAAATATAAATATCAAATAATAAAACAAAATGTAAATATCAAATAATAAATCGAAAATGTAAATATTAAAATAATAAGTCAAAATATAGGAAAAGTATTTTTCTAAGACAGTGTGTGATTAGCAGAATAATCGACACAGGTAATCTTTTAATAAAATGAAAAATAAAAAGTTGACGATTTACAGAATAATCGCCAAAAGTTTATAATTATTAAAGTAATTATCAAAAATATTCAAATTCGGAATAAAATTATTAATTAAATGAATATTTTATATTGGAATATCGAACAGTATATGGTAATAAATGGTATTAAACAAAAATTATATACGAGATGATTCAGTATTAGACTTACATTAGTTCCAAAAACATCTAGTCGTTTTGTTCTCGACAGCTAATCTACCAGGGGCTTCACTTGGTGTTCCTTCCGTAGATGTCTGCAAAGTTAGGGCGGCACTGCTTTTTGGAGTTTTCTGGTTCTTTTTCTGATTAAAGGATTGGAATCCACCGTTGTCAGTTAGGTTCTCCTTGTTCTGCCAACGTTTCCAGATCCTACTGCGACTGCGCCACTTTTTATATCACGAAACACTTTTTTGACTTTTTAAAAATTTATTTATTACAAAATACAAGTTACGTGGTAAAAATGAATGAAATATAAAATATAATGAATGAACTACAAAAATATACTGAATACTGAATTAAGAGCGACAAGCGGTTTTATAATATTAGTAAATGCTGACTCAGTGGGAACGTGTAAAAAAGCTTGGGTCCCGCTGACTCTGCTGGTACTGGCATTTGCAAGGATCCTTATCGGCTCAGGTTGTTGGAAGTGGAAACCTGATACCCTGGGAATCGTCGTGATAAGGAACATCGGTTGGTACAATGCTATAACATATATATATAACTATATATATTTATATATATATATATATATATATATATATATATATATATATATATAAGGTAAGTTGACCAAATAAGGCCCACTTAAAGTTTGTTAGTTGTTTTTTGATAAATAAAATCACGATATAAATCTGAAAACCACAGAGAAAATAAATCACATATTTAAATTTAATATGAGATTGTTAAATTTTTTTAAAAGTTTTATGAGTTGTTACTTTTTAGTCTTTAAAAAAAGCTTCGAGGCCTAATTAGGAACACCATGTTCTTAATAAGGCCCACTTTTTAAATGTGACCATTATGCCTAATTGCACCAACAGATCTTCAGCTCCAGTTTAGCCCAGTTCAGCTTATGTCGCATTGACGTTCCACGTACGTCTTAAGCTTAAGGTCTATTGGTGCAACTATACATTAATCAAATTAAACAAAGGTGACATGTAGGACATTTATTTTGTAAAAAATAATAGGTACTTCAAATACTTATTGCAAATAGCCTGGACATATGAAAACTAAGTCTTTATCATCTGCTGAAAGTCCTACACACTCTTCATGGATATATCTTTTGCAGCTGTCACAAAGTCTCATATCCTTAACGACATCCTCATTGCAGACGAAACAATACCAACTATCTTCTCGTTCTTCTTTGTTTTTTGAGGTTTCAAGTGAGCTGTGTTTATTTTTCTCTTCTCCTTTTTTTAGTTGTTTTTTGACTATCTTTCCGTTTGACAAGTTTTTTCCTTTTCTTGATTGGTTTTTAGGGTCATTTAAACCAGCTTCATCAAACAATGATTTTGTGACTTCCTGTGTTCGATAATTCAGGGATTTCTTTCTAGCACCTTTGCGTTTTCCAGTTTCCAATTCTGGTGTTATTAACACTGCGGTAAAACTTACTGACATTTCGTTTTCTTCTTCTGAGCTGTCATGTACTGAAAATTCATTGTCAGAACCGTCAGAACTCTCAGAGCTATCTTGCGTATTTTTGTCCTTTAGAGCTTTTATTTTCTTTTTTCTGTCTGGAGTGGAGCTGCCAATAGGATTATTCGTTGCGGAAGTCGAAACTGATGGAATAGCAGAATCTTCCGAGTCTAATTTATTTTCTGTTATTTCTGATGGGCAAAAAGCTATGTCAGGAATGACACTCGGATCATACGGGTATATTCCCGTAGCACGAAAACCTGAAATAACATTTGATGCGATAGTTGCTTTTGGCCATATTTTTGAGAAAATTGTGCCAAACGAAAATTTATTGATCGTTCGATCTGGTTTATTTGTCCAGTAGGTGATAACTTCGTCGTCCCAGTAAGATTCGAAGGCTTTAAATACCGCCTTGTCCATAGGTTGCAGTTCATATGTGCAATTACTTGGCAGGCAAAAAAGCGTAATTTCATGCGACTCGGCTTCATCAACAATACCTGCATCCAGATAGGACGATGCTCCGTCAAAAATAAGCAGTATTCTTCCTATTGGCTTGTACTTAGTAAAATGTTGTACCCACTTAATGAAAACTGGCGTAGTCATACTTCCTTTCTCGGTCATTTCAATAACTGTTCCAGCAGGAAGATTGTCATACCATTCATTCTTCTTTCTTTTTCCTTTGAACAAGATCATAGGTGGAATTATTTGTCCTACAGCATTTCTACAACCGACGATTGACACATTCTCAGCGTGCTCTTACGAAATCAAATGAACTTGTTTGACACCTTTACGAGCATATGCCTGGTGTGATTTATGAAGGTTTAGGCGGCAACCTTTCTCGTCAATATTAAAAATGCGTTGAGGGCTTTGCAGGATATCAAGCTTCAACATAACTTCGCGTAGCTTTTCAAAATAGTCATTGACTATGAATCTGTTTAATTTGGTGGCTCTAGCTGGATTCATGAATTGAGATTTTCTTTTAACTACTTCGGGATGCAGATATGCCATTTCTTTGGCAATATTCATGGACAGAACGTCTTATCACTATTGATGTCAGAGGCATTCCAACGTCAGCTAGCCTAAAAATTCTTCCACACAACTCAGATTCTTGTTGGGGGGTTAAACATGAAGGGCGCCTAAGTTTCTTTTCCGCTTTTCCACTAAGCAAATGATTCCTAAGTGTTCGACGGGCAATATTAAATTCTTTGGCGGCTGTTCTTACTGACATCAAATTTTTAACTGCTTGCAAGGCCAAAGCCATTTGTTCTTCAGTCCATAAAGCTCTAGGCATCTTAAGCTTTTTAGTATTCTTTCTGAAACAAAGTTAAAAACTTATAAAACGTGTTATTGTAGTGGTCTTAACAAGGCCCACCCGTAGTCTTAATAAGGCCCACCCGGGCCTTATTAGCAATACTGTAGGTGATCAATGTTTTTAGAAATTACCATTATTTACGTTTTAATAAACATAAGGTAATTCAGGTACTATGAAAGTACAACTAATAAGTACACAAATGTCATGCAAAATAAAAAAATCGCAATCATAATCGTATTAAATTACAAAAGCATACTAACCTCAATATCAGATTCGATGTTTACCCATTGACCACTATAAACGAATGATCATATAAAAGCGACAGTTCGCGTCGCTGCTCAACTTAGTGTAACAATTTGCACCTAGATGGCTCTACTGCATCTGTACATTGCAGCATACTGCCATTATTTGTCCATCCTGAGGAATATGGGCGAGTGGGCTTTATTAGGAACCGGGCTTTAGTTGTCGAACCTACCTTATATATATATATATATATATATATATATATATATATATATATATATATATATATATATATATATATATATAAGTAAAAGATATCGGCATAACTCGCAACAAAGAAAAAAAAATATAATAAAATGTCTGTAAAGATGGAAGGCAACCGTATATACCTGTTTCTGACTATTCGTCGTCTTCAGTACAGTGCAGCGATGTTAGAAAAGGAGCATATTAACTTGGGAAGGGATCACTACAGGAGCAATGCGACCAATCTGTAATGTAGGAAAATATCTTGTTTGGACCACATATATCGTAAGTAATTCTTAACGGAATTATAGAAAGTGAGTAGAAAACAAATTTTTTGTCTGGAAACTTCAACATTTGACCAAAATACGAAATGAACGGCAATTCCATTTCAAATCTGAATTCCATCAAATAGTTCTGATATTCCACATAAAGATTGGGTTGTTTACGTGGATACAAGGGAATTAGTGGTTTTTGTGTCTTATTTTTGTTAAAATTAAGATACCGCTTGTAACTTTACTGTAACGTATAATTTTTTTTAAGGACTCATTTTCTATAATTTAAGACATGGATGAGATGAGTCAGAGAAATGACATTTCTTTGAAAATAATTTCGTTAATACTAACCCAAAAATTGAACTCGACAATTTCCATTTAGTTTCTAAATCTGATGGATCTTCATAACTATAAATCAAAAGAACAGTATCATGAGTTGCATCAAATCCAGCATCCTTTAAGTCATCGATCTTACTAATAATAATTTTTGTGGGTTTCTCGGGTTCTTTGTAAAAATTGAAAATCACATCATCACTGGATGGGTCAGAAACTAAAAGAATATTTTAAATTGTAAATATCATCCCAACATAAATTGTTTATTAAATTTTTAATTCTAAAGATATTTATTATACATTTACAGTACATGAAGTTGTTTTTTAATTAAGCTACCAAACCTATTAGTTACGGATGGTTAAAAAAGGGTTGAATGATTATGATAATATGATTTTAACCCTTTCAGAACTGACTTTTTCTCAGCACAAAAAAATATTATTCTATTGAATCTTCTTAAGGAAAGATTGTAATAGGCTAAAATCGTATTTTTGATATTTTGGTAAAGGTAGTCGTTTGACAGAATGTCTATTGCAATCGACTTTGTGACTATAATATTATTATTTGAAACTATAATAATAATAATAATGGGAATATAATCGGAACTTATAAGAAAATAAAATATTTCGAACAATTTTTATTCTTTACAAAACACAAAAACATTCGTTTTCCCTTTACACCCGACATTTTTACATCTGGATGCTTCCATTTTGTTGTCATACTCGGGTAAATGATCTATTTTATCCATCCTTATTTCTTTTAATAGTCTAATTTCCACTCTGGAGTATGGGGACAAATCTTATTTGACATTTTGGGACGACCAATGTTTCTTTTTATTGATTTTCCCACTTTAATTAGCTCCTCAGCAATTTGTATTTTAAATTCTAACAAATCTATTTGATCTTTGGACAGTAAACTAAGCTGCTCCCTTTTATATTCTAGTCAACTATTGCCACAAGCAAAATCAAAGGCAGAGAAGATTAAATGCAATGTCCATTTTTTTGACTTAATAAAGATTCTATAATACGACAATAGTTGATCTAGTAAATCTACACCTCCCATCAATTTATTATATAATTAAATCGCTTGCGGTCTCTATATCGTTATTTGTTCTTGTGCCTAAGTATTATTTCTTTTTCCATCAAAATTCGATTCTACAAGCACAGACTTATTATCTTTGCATAAAACCGCATAATTTTATGCCATTTGCATAAAACCACAGTTCCTTTGTCATTTTCCACTTCTTCACTATATCCCGTTCTTTTTTTTTGTAATTGTTTATCTGTTGTAAATGCTGGTTTCTGGAATCTGTCAATTGTTGAAGTAGTAACAGAGTATATATTTTTCTTATAGAGTTGAGAATTTAACAATAATGTTCGCATCAATTTCTTTATTACAGACATCTTCTATGTCCCATTGATCTTCAATTTGAGATAAAACATTATTAGCTAATTGTTCAAAATTATCGTCATCTTTTAAAAATAACATTAGAATCTCTTGGTCTTTTGGATTATCCGGATTAAAACCTCAAAACAAAAATATCAACATCGACTTCTAGACCATTGCAATGGACATCGGATTTTAATGTTTGATATCGTCAAAAAAACAACAATAAATCATCTATGTCAAATAATCAGTATAGAAATTGATATGTCTACTATTTTATATTTGGTTACATATAATAAATTTATGATTCGAAGAAACAATATTTACTGACACTTTCCGGGGTATCGTGAATTCGTTATGTCACACTGTATTTAAAAGCACTTAACTCGACTATGATGCAAACTAAACTGACTGAAAATATTAAGACTAGCAGTGACTGAGATATGCAAAATAAAAAATATACAGTTGTCAGCAATTTACAAGAGTTTAATTTTGTTGTAGGGCTTACGTAAATGTATGTCCATTTCAATGGACACTGGGTCTGAACGGGTTAAAAACCTTAAAACCGAAAATGAACGAAAGAAAAATATATTTTATAATAAAAATAAATACTTATGTACAATAAATCAATTGTCTCCAGTAGGACCCGTGAAGAACAGACAGCTACCGACAAAAAATAATAAACACTTACGTGACAGTGTAAAGAAAAACGTAACCAGAACTACTAACACAACATTTGAATTCATTTTGATATAATATGAACTGCAATGCTGCAGATACTTTTCGTACCTGTTATTTAATAAATATTAGTCAACTCTATGGATAATTATCCACATTAGACAGTTTTATGTATACACTATCTTATCTGCAAAAAATAATATTATTTCATAATCTTTGTTGATTTATTATGCCATTATTGAGCGATTATTGATATTTAATTTATAGTGGGTTTAAGGTTTTTCCGTGAAAATAAAATTGTAGGTTACGGTTTTGAAATTATTTACAATAATATATATATATTTAGCGAATATTATAATCTCATATAGATAACAGTCCCACCAAAGACGACAAATTGTATCTGTTCTTAGAACAAATTATTACTGAACCAATACAACGTTGAATATTGTAAATCACACATGTTTTTTTCTTATACATATTTCTGGCTTTCATATAGTACAAACTAACAGATTACAAACTAAAACGGGTTATTGTCTGTTACACTGCAACCTTTGCAGATCTGTGCTTCCCATTCGACATCTAAAATTTAAAGCACATAATGTAATCTTGTCTTTTTATTGAGGTTCCTAGTTTACGGAGATACCGAAGATACATGATGTGCGCGTCGGGGTCGCGGTCTAGGTTTACATCTACGACGAGCAGAACATACTGAACAACATACTGACAGGAAGATACCTTCCTGTCGGTGTTCTTTGCGGTTTAGGTTTTATTTTTATTTCTTTTATTTCTAAATTTAAATTGTAATGTTGATTTAGTTACATGACTCAACTGTTGATACAACTATATGTGTGGATACATTCTCAAAGGCCTATGACTCAACTGGTGAGTCAAGGTTTAAAATACTGTTCAAAATACTTTAAAATGTATATAAATTTTATGTCCATGTTAGTAATACACTAGTACCGGTTTTTCCGATAGGCACTCTCAACATTTTTATCGGCATTTAACGTGTTAAATAAAATTTTAAGCGAAATTTTTAACAACCAGATCTTCCAAATATGTGTCGTTAATTATTATATACATTCTTAAAACAAATCAATTTGTTGACAAACAAGTAAGTAAATATGGGTTAACCACAAATACTTATTCAGTAAATAAAACGCAAAAAGTCAAAAAATCTGTATATTGTATGTGAATTAGGCAATCATTTAGAAGATAAAGACCTTTATTCAAATGTTTAATTTTTATTATTTTGTAGATATCTAAAGAGAAGTAAATGGGAAATATATTATAAAAATAGGAAATGTTAAATATTATAGGTATTATATTACTATTTTATAGTTTATTTTTATGAACGAGAGAGTAATTAGCATAATTTTAACTGGTACCGCTGACCACTCCATGGGCGTGCTCAAGATTAATTGAAAAATTACTTTGAATAATTGTAAAAAATAAATGAATTATTTCAGTGTTATAAAGTGTTATGTGTATGTAAACAAAAGTGACCTCTTTTTATCACACACTATATTAGAACTGACTGGCCTACATTAAAAAGGGTTTTAAAAAATTCACATTTTTTTTAATTTTTAAAAATTACAAAAGAGAAAAAGACTTTTTAAAACCGTCTAAGGTATGTTCAATAGATGAATAAAAATATTAATATAAAACTTACAGCTACTTGTTACAAATCCAAATCAGATTCAGAAGATGAACTTTCAGAACCAAGATTTATAATAACTGGCTCGATCATTTTATCAGTAATATTGTCCAGCTTCCACATTTTTTCCTCTTCTTTAATAGTGTGATTTACTGCCTTTTCCCAGTTTTCAGGTTTTACATTATTTACGGCCTCCAAAAACAACTGTTTAACATCATGAATTTTAAAAGTGCTATTTTTTCTTGAAACTTCACTCTTTTTCTGTGCCCATACCAGTTCAATCGGGTTTAATTCACAATGATATGGTGGGGATCTAAGTACTGTCATTCCACGATTTTTGGCAATTTCATCAATTTCGTATTTTTTAAATTTTTCTTTATGAAGGGCACACAACGAATAAAGTTCCTTTCTTATAGATCCGGGATAGTACGTAATATTTTTTGAACTCAGCCAATTCTGCAAGTCTTTTTTTAACCACTTGGTTGTGAGCAGTCCTTCTATAAGTCTGGAGTGATAACTTGCATTATCCATTACTATTACACAGTTCTTAGGAAGAAGATCTATCATTTGTTCGAACCATTCTTGAAAGACATCAGCGTTCATGTCTTCATGGTAGTCACCGGTACGAGTTGATTCAAAAGTTAATAAACCACCTTCAACAAAACCGTCTGAACTGCCAATGTGTACTATTATCAGCCTGCGTCCCTTTCCTGATGGTGGGTTTAAACCAGTAGATAAGTTATTTACAAAAGCGTGCCTTTGACTTGTAACAGTTTCATCCTGCCAAAATTTATTTGGTGTATGACCCTCGTTGATCCATGTTTCATCAAGATAAAATATTTTTTCTTTTTGGTTTCTCATTTTCTTTATGGTTCTTAGAAAATGTCTTCTCCATATGACAATATCGCTTCTTTCTAATAAAATAGACTTTCTGGGATTCTTTTTCCAGCGGAAGCCTATTTCTTTTAAAAGTTTCCATAACGTACTTCGACTCATTTCTGGGTAATCCTTATCATCTCGAACTGAGACAAGAACTTTATCCAATGTTGGAAATTCTTGTCTAAAGAAGAATTCATGCACTTTCCGTCGAAGTCCTTCTTTAAAATGATATTCTATTTGAAATTTTGGTTTCCCTGGAGTATTACGTGGCATTTGAAAACTACCACATTTCTCTTCTTTAATAACTCTGTAAATCGTAGATTTCCCAACACCAAGTGTACTGCTAACTAACTCAACGGTCTTATCAACACTTTCACATAAACGTTTGTCTGTAAATGATTTAAAACAATTAAATATTAATGTTTTTTTCATTAACTGTTAAAGGACCAATTTTTCGGCGTTTACACGGCACTTCTAAATTTTCCATAACACTAGTATACACAATAAACTGCACCTTGCAACTGAAGTACCTACTTTTAGTGAACTGATAAGAATTTTGAATACGCCACTTGGACCTTCCTACAAAATGGAAAAACCCACTATCACATTTTCTGTGGAATAAGATTAGAAGGTAATTATCTAGTCAATTACTGTTGTAGATTCCTGGAATTAAAGAATTAAATGTTTGATTGTTGAAACCCTTACTTCATGGAATGCACTCATTTCAGATAAAATAAAACGTTTTATTTTATCTAAAGAATTAAACTTTATTTTGCAAATAGGTAGGTACTTATTAAACTTTTATTGGTTATGTATAACCAATAAAATAAACATCTTACATTTCTTGCAAATTCATTAGTACCTGTTAACCTCCATCACTCCGACACTGGCAACCTTATTTAGGGATTAGTAACCCTCACAACTATTGTATTCTATTCTGCTCCAACCTTTATACCTGGTGGTCATACTCAATTTAAAATTGTTTTCCTATATACTTCTGTAAACTTGTTGACAAATATCTGTTTTTCATTGAGTCACCCGTATCAACAGTTTAGGGATTTGCATACATAATTTATTGTTTTATTACTCTCTCATACATAAAAATACACTATAGTTGTTCGATACTGATTACTACATTACCGTAAGGCCGAGATAATCAACCAAAAAAGAAGATGTATTTGGTGACTTTTCTAGTAACTTTCTTGGGTGTGAATCTGTCTTTTCAGTTTACTCCTTTTTTTAAAACAAACCATAGTTGCTTAAAATTTAAAAAACTTGGCAAAAAGAATTACTAGAGATTTGAAACTGCGATCAGCTAACCGACTATATCAACAAGTGGTGAAAAAAATTTGATATTTCATTATTATGTATGTATTGACCATCTGGTACTCCTTCTAAAAATCTGAATAATTTCTTGGAATTAATTTGATATCCAAAAAAACATATTTTTTGTCGTTAGTAGATTGCTGCAGATTTTGTTTATTAAATTTTGATATTTTCGAACGCCCTTTTGAATTTGAATTTCGAGCCAAAAAATTGAATAAACAACCCTGTTATATGCAATAATAAACCTTTCATATAGAAAAGGCGATAAACAATAAACACTTAAATTAGATTTTAAAATGCTCATTAAGATTAAAATGAGTCTATTACCAATTTAATGTTAGATATACACTTTCGCAGAAAATCGCTGACAAATAATTTTGTTATCAAAACAAACTATTTACAATCGAAATGTTTCAGCTATAAAATCCAAATGAGCATAAAATTAGGTGATAAATTATTAAAGAATGGCAATAACATTGTTGACTGATTGGAGAAAAGCGATGTGGTATTACGAGAAAACTAAGCCGTTCTTTGTTTCTACTACTTGCCATGATGTATTTAAGTGATTACTCAAGAAGGGATGGTAATAGAGAAACTTGCAAAAAAGCTTGCAAATTGACAACCATGTAAAAAAGAGTGATCGGCGTTTGTAACACCACATGACCTGCCTGTAACAATGCAGGTGAGTGGTATTATAGGAATGTTAATAGAATAGTCTGGATCTGGAAAAGAAATTTGTTTGTGTTTTAAAGTAGTAAGTGCAAGTGTACAAGAGTTTTGGAATAAACATATTAATTTACATCTTATTTTTCTAATCAATAGTTTTTCATCAGATGATCATCGTGGTGTTATTTATACGAAGAAATACTTTTGAACAGTAACTATTTTAGTTCCTGATAATTCTATATAAGGTATGTAATCCAATTTTTATTTTATTTCACATTGATTGTTTTCATGTATTTATAAATTGAAGCTTATAGAATCCTTAAATTGCTCATTTTAATTTTTTTTTATTAATTTTAAAACAAATATTAAGACAAATATACAATATACCTACATCTGGTAACTTTGGTTAGACTCAGACGTGGTCGCCATTTTGAGTCAAGATCAGGGTGACCCTTCTGTATAAATCTTACACTTAAAATGTAAATCAAAGCTTTTTGCATCGTTTTGAAAGTGTTTTAAAAGTGTCTTTTTGTAAATGCTTCAAGTATCATTGCTGATGGTCTGATAAGACCTGACACGTTTTGAAAATTTTTAGTCCTTTGAATATTTTTATTCATTT